AATTTACAATAACATACACACAAGATAAATTTACGATAAACTATGAAGCTATAAAATAAATTAGACATAATAAGAAATAAGATTGACATAATTACTATTGGATTATTCTAAGCTAGACATGCACAATTATTATACATAAATAAAAAGGACAAAAACTGAAGATACTGGGGCTACGCCCACCGCCCCCAAGCAACCACCCCAGGTCGAGATATTCGGGGCAACAGACAAAGAGAAAACTGTCCCAAATGCCACGACTCAATAATTGCCCAGGGTACAGCAGCGCAGCACCAATATCCATCAATCAGGTGAAAGATAAATTAATTAATAAAAATCAAGTAATGTCATATCGCTTCCTTAGCTCTGCTTTCAATTTAGAACAAAATAAACTATAACTAGAAATGTCTTTTATATTATTTGGCAAATTATTGAACAGTTCTGAGGCGATATCTTGAAAAGTTCCCTTTTCCAAAGGTCTGACCAAATTCAAGGTGGAACTTTGACGTAAAGTTCTTGATGGTTTGCGAACTTCCAGTGCAACGTAGTTAGGCCAGTGCTCTGAGTTAATGGCTTTATAGATGACTTTCAGCAAGTTATAATCTCTACGTTCACGCATTGGTAACCATCCAAGCTTTAGGACTGATTCCACAGAGTTCACGTATTTTCCAGTGACAAAACTCGCAGACGAGAATTGAATTTTTTGTAACCTTTTTAGAAGATAGTCTGGTAATGGATTAAAAACCAGATCACCGTAATCCATCTTCGACAGAACAAGTTGTTCAGCCAGTTGCTTTCTAAGGTTGTAAGGGGTGAAATTCTTTATTTTCTTAAGAACGGCCAGAGTACTGTAGCACGCAGAAGACAGGGATTTTATGTGATCGTTCCAAGTTAGATTTTCATTAATGTGCAAGCCAAGCAATTTTGTTGTTTGTATACGTTCCAACTGTTCATTATTCACCATGAGGTTGGTCTTGTATGAAGTTTTGTGGAGTGTATTATAAACAAAAAATTGCACAATCACAATTCAGAATTTATAGATACCCGTGATGTTTTGAAAGTTCTCAAGTTGAAAACTTTCAAAACATCACTTGTACCTATAAATTCCAAATTGTACTCAAGATCGTGCGATTTCCTATACTTACCGGTTATGCTCGAGAAGATATGCCTTAATGTGGAACTTGATCCTAAGTGAATGACACGTAGTCGGTAATGGCAAAACATTGCTGCACATGATGAATACGTCTATTGCTGGGTTTCACTCAGCTGACAAATGTTTGAATCTCATTATCTGCTCCAAATGGTGGTCAAACACTGACCACCATGTGCTGTCAGCCGGAAAGAATTCTATTGAAAACTTGTCATTCAGCTAATGAACATTCTGAGCGAGATAGGAAATGTAGTCAATTGAAGCCGGTAGTTAATGATTACTAATGCGAATAAGGGTTTTCCTCTATTATGCTTAGACTTTTTTTAAAAGTCATTATTATCACAAATAATAGTTCCTTAATTTGTAATCTACTTGTTTCTTTAGACCTTCTTAGCATGGTATCCCTCGATGGAGGGGATGTCAGTGACTTCATAGGAGTGGTTGGCAGCACTGCAGAAGAGGAACAGGATGATGTCTTTGATGATATTCTCATAAGCTCTTTATCAGGTTAGGTTTTCCATTTAGACCATTTTCGAGTTCCAAATAGGCCTTTTGCAACAAACAGTCACGTGCTGATATATCATTTTGATAACGAATCAATTCAGCTCAAGGTCCCTTGGGGAAGGCTCTGCTGGATGGCAAACGAACTATAAATTGCTTCGTATCTTGAAATCGAAAGTATCTTATAAGGG